AATTAGTTTTTTTCCAACAAAGATGTAGTATAAAAATATTTAAAAGTTATATTCAAATCAAGAAGGTGATTACTGTATTTTTAAAATTTTCAGTCATTATTTTGCTTGGAAGAATACCATTTAAAAAATACATATGTATCTCTATTCCTATTTAAAACGGTATACTTTTTAGTATTCCATATGATTTTAAATTATACATGTTACACAAATAAGATTTTTAAGTATGTACCCAACACGTTCGCATCTAACGTTACAGTTATTATTGGCTTGATCGCACTGTTGTTAAATATACTATTTTGGATAGGTAGATACAATAATTTAAATAGTTAAATGTAAGCAACGTAATTTTATTTTCAAATGGCATACTATTGACACACAATCTAGACCATGTAATGAGGACCTGCTGAATTATAGCTAAGAATATATTCATCGAATGATTCATCTTTAATTTAATTCATTATCCGTTTTTTATAATTAAATTAAAAATAATATATTTTTATATATTAGTTTAATATATTCACATAATGTATATCAATGTATATTTTCTTTTTTTTTTAAGATTCTGTGTGAAGTGAGTATGTGTTTTTTCGTTATGCGATAGCTATAAATTATATTATTATAATTACTATAAGTTACTTGTGTCTAATTTTTCTTATAACAACCACACAAATTATTGGCATTGTAAAATAATAAGGAAACGGCATAAATTGTGTCAATATATTTCTATAAACGGCAAATAACTTTTTTTTTCTTTTACTTTTTACTTATTATGTAAATATAATCGTATTTTTATAAAGCAAATGTTCGTTTATTTCATAAATATTTTATCATATTGGTGAATTAATATTTTATCTAGACTAAACAATTTTTTAAGCGGGTTTTTCTTCTAATCTCGAATACATTTTTGCATTTTATAAATTTTACACTCGTATAAAAAATAAAATTACTAAACGTTATCTATAATTAATTTTTAAAATATGTTTTATTAATATTTATCCTAATATATATCAGTTTCAAGAAATTTCAATAAATTGCAAAACAATATTATTTCAAAAATACTGGATTTCTAATTCTTTAACGGCCAATTTTCTATGGCATATAAATATATAAACAATTTCATGAGCAATAACATTTTAATTTCTTGATAAAAAAAGTAAAATTCATATGTTATGAATAAAATTCCTATACATTATTAAATCAGAGTATTGAACGTGAGCGCACATTTTATAGTTATATGGTACAAGTTTTTATAACATATATTTAGTTAACTTTTATGTGATTTAATTTATCAAATTTAATAATTTTATAATCACGTTTTACCAGTTTAGTTACTCTCCAGGATGTAACTGTTAATATTTTTCACTATAGTTAATTTAGCAAATTTGAAATCATAACTTATGTGTACAAAAATAATATACTTTTAATTTAGTATTTTTACTTCTAAGTTGAATGAGTCTTTAAAAAAAAAGTTAATAAATATATAACAGGTGTAGATTCAAACTTTTACCTCAAGATAATACTAAAATGAATACCAATTAATAAGTTATATGTCATATTTTTGTCAGCCTATTTTATAATACTGTTATACATTAATGGTTGTATAATATTTCTGAAAATCTTAGAGGGATTAAAAAAAAAAAACAGAAATGGTGAACAGTATGTCAATTTATTATTTGCATATTATACGTATAATTTAATATTATTATCGGAAAAGATAATAAATTCCTTCATTATCGACCAAAACTGCCGTATACCATTTGTATCTATTGTTTATTATCTATTCCATGGTAAATTGTGTACACGTAAAATTAGGAAATACTAATATTTCATACGGATGATGAATCCGTGCGTTATATTAATCCATTCATTTCTCTTCGCTATTGTAAATAGTATAATGTACCTATCAAATCGTATGCAAAATTCGGTTAAATGTTATTTAAATTTTTTAACAATAAAGCTACTCATAATAATAAGTTATATTAAAAAAAAATTGTATTATAAAAATCGATTTTTACTATAATCGCAACGGAAGAGAAATTAGTACCACTGGGCATTAATTTAGTGCGCTATAACGGTTCAATGTCGATTAAAGAAGGAGAAGAAAAATTACCAAAGGAAATTATATTGAAATTATTACAAATACGTTGATATCGTTGATATAGTTTGTAAATAAATCGTTATAATATTATAAAATAGAAACTTGGTACGAATGATGGCAAAATAACAAAGGAAAAAATAGAAGAATTTGATGAAATTTTAATTAGTATTTTTCCATCAGAAAAATAAGAAAAATACGACAAACTGTGAAAATTACAAGTTTTAAATCAACCAGTTGCTATAACGGATGCTATTAAGCTGACAAGAATTAGAATCTAAAAATGTTAGATATAACTTTGAAACATTTACACGCACGAGAAATAGGTATTTGTCCGATTAGAAGGGTCACTCTATTCCCAGTATTTCAATGAAATAATTCGCCTGGTTGCATTTATATTAAAATATTGATACAGTACATTATGTTTAATTGATTTATGTTACATACAATACATTTTTAAGTTACTATTATTTGTGCGGAATGTGGACTTTTATTATTGAAAGTTCGCGACGAATTTGTAGGTGTCAAGATGATTATAGATATGAACAATGATTTTATTTAGCAAAGACGACAATGGATATTATATGAATGTAGTATCTTTCGGTATAAGGAAACCATTGCCAGCAGAGCATAGACAATTGAACGTGCAAAATCGATTAACCGCATTGGAAGCTAAAAAACAAATAATTAAAGATGATTTAGCCACAGCAATTGAAACGTATGAAATTATTCAAATTCGAAAAATTGAACAACGAATGGCTATATCAAAAATACACAATAATGAGAAACATTTAAAAAAAAAAAAAAAAACTTAAAACTTTCATAGAAAGGATTCGAAGAGCTTCAGACACCGAGAAAATAATTCTGGACAGTTGAAAATGTTATTAGATCGAAAACGGTTAAAATTCATAAATATAATTGTATTATAAATTTTTCAATTTAATACATTTTAATACGAAATATATATGTATATTACACGTGGCTCGTTTCTTCATTAGATTTGTATATGAATTTATACAACGAATACACATTTTATGAAATATGCAGTAAAGGAGAAAAGTTGGCCAAGGTAATTTGGCACTCCCTAAAATAAACAGAGTGGTGGTGTCAATGTGTTTATTATGTTTAAACAAAAATTTATTGAATATTGTATTTAATCTGAATTAATCAACCTGTGTCGACTTACACTTGTTTATCGATGTATATTACTTATGTTAGTTCACCTATACGTGCTTTGTATAATAATTACTACAGTTTACAGAGTAAAATGTATTAATAAATACAAGAATCGAAATGTAGAAAAACACGAAAAAAAACTGCCAAAAAGTGATAGAATAAAACGTAGTACCTAAATGAACGTCAACAGAGAAATGATATTATACTTAATTAAACAAAATTGTACTTTATTGATTTAACTAATAAATATGTTACAATCAAATCAATATCTTTTGACGTAATCAAAATTCTTTTGCTGATACCGCCGCCTATATTTTGAACAAACGAAATTGCGTATAAAGTTAATATTAATAATCGAGTAATTTTTTTTATTTACTGAAATGACGTTATATTATGTTTTGCATACATGTAAAATTCTAAATAAAACATTCCTTGATTGTTCTTACATTCATAAGCATAAATCGATTTTCAATCAATTTTCTATGACGTTTAAAATATTCGTATCATGACGATTACTTTGTTTTCATTTGTTTTGAGATTTTTTTTTTGCTTTTATATTTTAATATACTGATTTGAATGCAGGAAACAAGTTCAAGGTGAAAATTTAGTGTGTAGAAAAAAAGATATGGGAAATGATATTATCTCAAATTTGCAACTATTGAAAATAGTAATTCGTGTTGTACTTTCAGACATCAGTTTACATTCCAGGAAATAATTCATAAGACTAATGGTCTGAAGTTCTTGACCTTGGTTGAATTCATCTCCGCTCCTAATTAACGATTGATGTAGTTATATACAATTAATTAATTATTCAGCCATACGTTTTTAAAACCAGAGTAGTACCATCAAACTTGTCAATATAATTATCATGTGGGAATTTTTTTCTCCTTGTCAATAACCTTGATAATACAATTTAAGTCAATGTTAACATTTGCATTTATGGAAAATTTATTAGAAGAATTTATTGTTTTATTATCCATGCAAATTTAAAAGGGATGATAATAATATTATATTATTAAACACTAAGGTTTTTGGTTTTCCATTTAGTATACCTATTGATTATAGCTAAGTTTATTCTGATATTTTCAAAGCATTAATTTAAATTGTAACACGTACATTAATTAAATCAATTTTATACAATGAGTTTACGCAATAAAAATTAGATCAAAGTCGTTTAAGATTACATTGTAATGTTTTATATTTATAAGTTAAATATATTCAAGAGATAATTATGCTGAATTGGTTTGTACTACAAAAGGTGATATTTAAATTTGACAGGAAGTATTAATGTATTAAAATAGATATCTTATAATTATTGCCTCAAATTACTTCATCGAAAAAACTCTGTTTTTCAATGTGGAATCTATAAAGATTAAGTAAACAACTTTTTTAAATATTTTATTATTTAAAAATACTATTACTGTAGAAGCAACTGAAAATGAGAAAAACCGAAGAAATATAATTATTAATCAATCCGATATTATTATTTGGAGAAAAAAAAAATCTTATTTATTATAGTTAAGTAATCGTGAGAAAGAGTATTTTGGTTTTTAGTGAAAGTTGTTAAACATCACATGTTTTTATACACACCCACACACACACACATATATATATATTTATATATAGATAGATAAATAATTATCTATATCCTATAATATTTATTAACAAGTTGAAAATATTATATCGTTATTAATACCTTGTATGTGTTTTTTGTTGTGTGTTCAAACAGATGTAAGCGTAGTAACTTCAGATCAAATATACTTCCTTTCAACAAATAATACCCTATACTCAATAGAAAACAAATTAAAAATAATGGGAGCAATTGCGTACAATCCTATTACAAAGGACATATATGTTAGCGACTCGAGTCAAAACAAAGCAAGTATATTCCGAATAAAATATATAGAGAATGCATACAGCAGCATCGTCGAACCCATCGTTGCTTGTAAGTCGAATTTCAATCCAATCATTTTCGTATCAATTATTATTGCAACGAATGTGTTGTGTTCATTTAATAATATTACGATACACTTGACTTGGTTATCGCCATTTCACCGTTGTACATTTTCAATTTTTTCCCCTTGTAGTACTACAAGAGGCTGTGCAGGCATTGGCATTTGACTACCACACGTCCAACTTGTACTGGACCGACGGTAGCGGACACACTATCGGTGTTGTAAACGTGCCGGAAAACACGATAAAAATTCCGCTCCCATGGACAAAATTGCATTCATTCCAGAACGAAACTCCACAGGGCCTTGCGATCGACGTGTGTAGAGGGTAAGCTTTTTTTGTTTCGGGTAAAAAAAATTAATTCAGCCGATCAATAGCATGGTCTATGGCCAAATATCGTTTAGGTAATCCTATTTATTCCATTTATCATGCATAAAATAGATACGTTTTGCTTAAAAAACATATTGATTGATTTCATACTCGAGTGTAAGATAACATGTAATTTTACTATGCATACAAAATAATTTACATAAAAATACATATTATTATTATTATTTATTAAATACTAAAATCCGCTTTATAGGTTCGCTCTAAATATCTAATTAATGTTGTAAAGTGATTTAAGTAGCTTTAATTAATTTAGTATTCAAATTAATATATATTAAAACGAATAGTATACGTAGTGTACAATAACAATTCCAACAAGAATACAGATTATGTAGTTTTGATCAGACTTAATTCGGATAAGGCTTTTAACGTTCACGTTGACTGCGTAGTATGCAAAACGGGTGCAAGTGTAATATGTTTTTTTTTTTTATTTATTATTATTACATACACAATCTATACCTAAGGGTACAATAAGAGTATTTACTAAATTAGATTAAATACATGAATAAGCTTGATAAAAGCAGCCACCCAGTCATGACACTTTTAATTGAGGTTATATTAATTTATACATATATCTATATTTATATTATTATTCTTTTTTTTTTTTTTTTTTTTTATATTATTAACAAATCTCTACACCAGTTGCGTTTTAAGCGTCTTGGAGGATTGCCTGGGATATTATTTGATGAAAGAGCTTTAATTAGAGGATTAGAATGAGATGCTATACGATTGTGGAATCTTTTATAGCAAGTTATTGCTTCTTCTTTTACTGTTTTGATATTAAGGTCTGAGTGAAGGGTATGGTTTGAAATGTAAGGAGGGGTGTTAGTTAATTTCTTTAATGCAATATTTTGAAAAGCCTAAGTGTAATATGTGAATATTATATTATATCATAGCGATTATATACGACAATACGATTACTATAATTAGTCTAGGGTATTATTTTTATATATTACTCGTTTAGCGTGTATCATTCTAATATTTTTATTTAAACAACAAACGACAGGGAAGGGGGTTGGAAATATCATCGAGAATACTATAAATAATATAATCTAAATATTACTGTAATACAATATTCGTATATTTTTATAATTTATATTTGCGTATGATATCATTACGACAGGGGCGAACACAGGAAAACTTGTAGGAAGAGTTTTTGGAAAAATTTCATGGGAAACTTTGAAATAACTATTGAATTTGTCGGACAGGTAATTTATTTTTAAAAATGTTGTTGATAATTTTGGGGACTTTTACCCCGAATCTCTCCTATGTCTGAGTCAGCGTTACAACGATACATTTATTCATAATATACATGTATATATAATTATACAAAAAATAATAATAATAATTATTATTATAATTAATTTATTATTATTTCTAAACATTTGTTGCGTAATGTTGCTCCCGCAGGTACTTGTACTGGACCAACAATCATCATGATAACGCGACCATTGAACGGTCGTTTCTGAACGGGACCGGACGCGAAGTGTTGCTGCGTGGCAAAGAACTGCACCAGCCGCTCGCAGTCGCGATAGACGTGGAAAACAACCGGTTGTACTGGAGTAACGAGGAAGAAGGGATATATTACAGCATTAAGAGCATGGACCTGAACGTGAAGAATGGTACCAAGCAGAAGCTGATCAGCGGCACTCGTCATCGGCCGTTCGCGATGGCGGTAGATGAGCAGAACGTTTACTGGAGCGATTGGATCAACCGGGCCGTGTGGTCCCTGCCCAAGAACTCGTTGAAGGATGGCGTGGTGAACACCCGGTTGGCCGAGTACGACATGGACCACACGCCGATGGCTTTGATGACGCCCTCCGGCAACACGACGAAGGTCAACAACACGTATTGCGCACTGCACCGAGAAAAAGTACGTTCTAACAGTTCCGCGTTACCACTACAACTAACTGCCTGCCGTGACCCACCTGCAGGGTTCCTCGAAATGGGTTACGTGAACAGGGCCACTCTACAGTTGTTGGCGTTGTCGTCGACCATCACGTTTTTCTACGTGACCGTTGGTGTAAACGCCGTCTGACGTAACCATTCATTTTTTTTCCTCCCACTCATAACCTCAATGAACTCTTAATTGTTAGCTGCGTGGTAGACCTATAGGGAGTTTTCCGTTAGGCCCTTGTTTGTATGTACTTATTTACAGTTCCCATCCCCCTTTCGCCCGGTCCCACGCCTTAATATGGTTTAAATGTTATTAATATAATGCAATATAACTATATCATGCTATATGATAAGAAAAAGTTTATTTTCAAATTAAACTAATATAAGAATATCTGTAAAAGTATGTAATGCTTTATGATATGCTCTAGTAGTTAATATTATTGCTTATTAATAATTATAGTAAATATGTTTATCCAGGGCGTATCACATTAATGTCTAATAGTTTGTAAGTTATACAATCGTTTTAAGACAAGTATAATGTTATGTCATCATCAAACAATTTTCACAGTTTCAATAAACTAAATGATAACAAATTTTATATTTTAACTTCTGTTTAGTGAACTTATTAAAATTAAAAAGTTGGTATTTAAATAGGACAGATAATTAAAAATGTAAAACTTTCCCAAAATATTTTACTGGCTACGCCACTGTGTTTACCAATTGTATAAACGAAATATAACGTGTAGAATACGTTTGTGGGTTCTTGATTCCCGTTAAAATAAAGTCCTCCATTAATTTGTATCATAAGCTATTGTATGTATGTTATTGTGATGTGCGAAGGTTCTTACAAATTATATAAAAATTTCGTAGGTGTCAAATTAAAATTTGAAATTTTCACCACCCATCATGTCCTGTAGATCACTTGTTTCTTTGGCGAAGATCGTTTTTTTGACACCGTATTTTAATCGTTATTATACTGTATAACATAATTATTATTAAGTTATTACCAAGTCAATGTTCTTCAATATTCAGCTGTTGAATTTTTTTTGTATAAAGTCTAAAATGGGGTCTAACATTTTTCTGGCTGTTGAATGTCGTTTAATGACGAAAGTGATACCAGTTTATTTAAATCGTGTTTATGTTATATAAATTAAATTTTTCATAGTAAACTCATCATTTACGCAGAAAAAAAACTATTCCCAAAGCCTGATACTATAAGTTTTCAGAAGTTCGCGATCACTCCGTTACTATCAATAATTATAGTTTAATTTATTTTCAAGGAATTTGCTGATAAATACAGTTGAAATGGTTTTTATAATTAAAGACGTGTTATTAAAGCATTAAAGAAGCATGTGACAATGTCAATGGATATAACTATTATAACGATGTAGTTGTACATGGTCATCGATCGAGCAGAAAACCGATACGGACGTGGTGTGAACTCTATAAAAGAACTTTGATGCATACTTATATTAGGGGATGTGATACCTGGGGGATACTATGATAACGATTGTGGAAAGTTTTCAAGCACGAAACTATTGTTGTCATACCGTTCAATCGGATTCTGTTCGTACTGTTTATTGTGATATGATTTCGCAAAGCACCGCGGCGGGTGAGCGTGTACCACACAGGGTATTTTTATTTATTTCCGTGACTTCTTCTTGCGAACCCTCACCACGCTCATCTTATCACTCCTATCCCCGTCCATTGCAATGACCCACGACTCCAATCGCCAAACGGTTTGCTATAACTCCTTTGCGTGTTGCAGGAAATCGTGATGACGAAGACGGACGTGATCCCTAATTTGATCCCGTACTCAGCGCTGAGGAACATTTGCGGGAACAACATGAACATCACGTGTACGGTAACCGATTCAGGAGAGCCGACGTGCAAGTGCCCGGAGAGCACTACCAAAATCCAGGGCGAGGTACCGTTGTGCTCGCTGCCTTGCGAGAACAACAGCACGTGCACAATTGACTCTAACGGATTCACTACGTGCAAATGTATGGACAGTTCGGGCAACGTGTGTCAGTATCCGACGATTATTAACAAACTGTGCAAATCTCACTGTGCGGATACCGCTGTACCCGAATCGAAAAAGCTCGCTATCTGCAGGTAATGTACAATATTATTTTTATAGACGGGCGGAGGGATCTTGATTGACATGTTCAACTGCGACTCTTTTTTTTCTTTTAACGATCCGTTTATGCAGTTCAAAAAAATTAAAAGAATATCCCCGGATTGGCCTTACGACTTTTTTTTATCCTTCGTACTGTATCTTACAATCCGCTTTATTGTGGTTTTTTAGCAAAAAGTATAAAAATAAAAACCCAAAAAATAACTATTTCATAATCTGGTTTATGCATAAATATTATGTCTAATAAACACATCACTTATTTTTTTTTTTTTTTTACTTTTTCCTGTCTCTAGATGTGAAAAATCCATAGCCACGGAGAACTACAACTTGTCAAAAGCAGATAGATCAAATATCAATTCGGATACATCGAACCATTCGGATAAGTTGAGCCATTCGGATTTATCGAGCCATTCGGATATATCGCAGTGCAAACTTAGGAAGAGCATGTTTGTCGTGATCTTCATCCTAACAGTACTCGTCGCCAGCCTGGGTATCATCACAATGATCCTGGCCAGAAAAGTGCGGTTCTTAGGCCGCCGACCCAGGATCAAGAAGCGCATAGTGGTTAACAAGAGCATCACGCCGCTGACGTACAGCAGACAACCACCAGAACAGAACCAACAGTGCGAGATTACCATCGAAAACTGTTGCAACATGAACATATGTGAAACGGTAAGTGTGGAATCTGCCGTACATGGATTTTCCGGTGGGATTCACGAATCATGTTTAGAGTTACTGTATTTTAATGAGCAAAAACCGGGGCAAACTTTTTTTTGGCTTTTATTGAAAATAATCGGACCTCTCCCCTGAATATTGTTTCACATCTTATGACTTACATCCTTGGCAATATTTTAAATTTATAAAAATAAAATTACTTTTTATACATATTTTTTTTTTTAATAAAATACAAAATTAGAGTACTTCGTCACTCGAATAGTCTGAGTTGTCTTGTACTATATACACTCGTTGAAGCAATGTTTTTTGGACGAATATTATCTTAAATTAACTACAAATTATGTTATCAAAACTTGTTTTAATTTAAATGAAGTCAAAACTGTTCAATCAAGTTTTGAATAAAAGACAACATTTGCACATAAATTATTAAAGTTTCATCATTCATATTTTCACGTTAGATCGCCGTGTTATAATACTGACGTTTGATTTTTTTTTTCAGCCGTGTTTTGAACCTGATTACCGACCGACTCCGTCCGCAAAACTAGCGACTATGATACCGTCGTTGAGCAGGTCAAAAAAAGAAGACAAAGCCAACTTACTGAGCAACACTGATATGTCGAGCGAGGACGAGAAACCCGTCCTGCGTCGTTGATACTACTAGTAGTTAGGGTTTAAATTATATTAATTTATTCTTTATCAAAATCTTACTTAAGGGGCTGCATTCTATCGTTGTAGATGGACAAATTTGTGATATTGTATTGTTCCAAGCCATTTTTCTTTTGGTTCTTTTTATAACGATTAAATTGCGGAAAGCATCATTTTAAGGCATAGCGATTATTACCATTTTTTTTCTCATTGAAAAATTACATGAAAATTTGTATTATATATTTATCGAAACGTGTCGTGTGTTTGCCAAAACTATTCTGTAAAAGCAGTAGTTCCACATGTACGGCACGTTTGACTCGAAATGAATGCGCCGCTTATTCTTCCAGATATGTGTAGTCCCCGTAATTCATGTAACTCGATAAAACTATTTAATTTTTATTATTTTGATTTTTTTTTATAAGCTGTTTTAAATACAAGACTGGAAATTTGTATCTTCAGTATTTTTTCGTTTTTATTGTTAAAGTTTGTGAAATTAGTGTATTGTTACATGAGTATTTATATTTATATTTACTACATTGTAAATAAAATATTTATCATTAAAAATAAAAGCATATACACTAACATGGCCATAATAAAATCTACACATACACATATACGTGTGTATATATATTAAAGCTCTCTATTACACATGTATTTAAAAACATGGGTACACGTCCGCAAATAAAATATACGGGTAAATTAAACGATAAACGTTGAAATCTGTGCCCCCTCCCCTTTAATTTGTTACAAACCGTGTACCCGTGTATTTGCTTCGATCCTTGTACCTGTGTGATTGCTTATATATTTGTAAATCTATATATTTAAAAACCAATTACCACTCACTCACTGATCGCTAAATATCAAAAACTACACAACGTACGGATTTTAAATTTGGAATAGTAGTTACTCTAATACTTCAACCGACCAATATGAAAGGATTTAAAAAATGTTGTGTTAAGTGGATTAATTAATTACCTGCATCCTATCCTTTTTTCCCGTCGTATAGATAAGAATTGTTCTTAAAAGTTAATTGATAAAATAATTTTTAAAAAATTGAATTTTTTTATTTCTGGTATATATGATAGTTTTGATTAGTGTTTAATATATATCGTTCATCTGATTTCAATAAATACAGTTTTTTACATATAAGTAATAAATAATAAAACCTTTTACACAAAACATTAACAAAAAAAACTAAGGAAATAATTAAATGTAACTATTAAGTATATAATACTCAATGATTATACAAAGTACATAGATAACAAATATTTATTATAGATAATTTAAAATGTAAATGGACGTGTATTACAGATACACAAATTCTTGAGTTATTACACTGAATTAATCTTTTTTTTATTTAATTCTAACCTTTGGCAGCAGTGGAAATTGAGATTTATAAAAAAGAAAATTTCATGATTATTTATAATAATCTGAATTAATAGAATAAATACCACCGGATTCAGATGTCAATATGGTATCAAGACTTACTGGATGCAGGCCCAACTAGAGAGTGGGGTACTCGAGTATTTTTCCTCGGGCTCGGGCATCTTCAAGGGCTCGGAACGGTCCAGAAGAATAACTGTATTAATTTGATAAAAGCTTTTTCAAAATGGTACAACGTACAAATAAAAATCTGTACGTTGTATAAATACATTAATACGTTCAGGAAATATGTATCCGTTCATTTATTATTTTTGAATTTGTGAGTTGCGAATTGATTTTTCCATTGATATTGTGTTCTTCCAACCAACAAACACATTAAAATACCGTGTGATTGCAGAGTCGTCCAGGTTAGGGCAGTGAGCGCAATTACTCGAGTCTACCCTATGCATCCGAAATAGGTAACTCCTAAAGCAATCATGCAGGGGCGTAATTACGGGGGGGATATGGGGGATAGATCCCCCCCATGAGCTGTATTTATATATTGTCTTATA